GGGGCGGGGCTGGCTGGCATGTGGTGCTGGGGGATTGAACTGTGGTCCCTGTGCTTTGCTAAGTTTGTTCCAAGTAAGTGCTTTAGACCTCTGAGCCATCTCACCAGCCCCACAAAAACTTTTTGTCTCATTTTATTTTGGTTTTGAGACAGGGTCTTGCATGTAGCCCAGGCTGCCCTCAAACGCATGGCAATCCTCGTGCCTCAGCCTCCTGTCCCATCTCCTGTACGCAGATCGGACTCATAGTGATCCTCCTGTTTTCAGCCTTCCCAGCCCTGGGATTACACGCTTTCTTTTTTTTTTTTTTAAGGATTTTTTTTTTGGCTGGCTCAGAATGCTTTCAGGGCGCGCTTGGCTGGCTGGAGTTGTGGGGATCGAACCATAGCAACCTGAGCCTGACTGCTTTGTTGAAGCAGCCTACGTGCTTTCTACTACACCTGGATTTTGGTCAGCTCAGCCCGCCCTATGGGCGGGGCTGGCATGGCGTGTGTCTGCCGGGATAGAACCATGGTCCCTGCACTTGCCTAAGCAGGCACTGTAGTCTGCTGAGCTATCTCGCCAGACCAGCTTTGTTTCTGTAAGTGTAACTAGCAGCTTTAGCGAGTTATTAGATTCACTCATTTCAGTGTACAGCTGAGTTATTTTCAGTGTATTCACACAGTTGTGTACCATTAACTGATGGAGAAACCCTCCGCTGCTTGTAGCCACCGTGGGCCTCAGGCCCCGGCGCCCAGTGGCTCTGCATTGCCCTGCTCTGGACACGTGCCTTCATTGGCATCAGATGACCCCGGATCTTCTGTGACCAGCTTCTTTCTCTGCGTGTAGTCTTTCAGCATCCACGCTGTAGCACAGATAAGCAACTCTTCCTTCTTATTTTTGAATGTTGTGTCATTGTATGTATGTATGTATGTATGTATGTGGCACATTTTGTTTATCCACTGACCAGTCATGGGCATTTCAGTGGTTTCCATTTTCTAGCTATTAAAAGAGTGTTACTGTGATCATTCAGGTACAGGTTTTTCTGTGGATCGATGTTTTCCTTCCTCCTGGGTATCACCGACGTCAAGGATTGTTTGGTTGTATGATAACTTTATTTGGAAACTTCCAACCTGGTTTCCTCGTTAGCATGATAATTTACATGGTGATGGTGGCGCAGCGTGATGGTCTCAGCTTCCCCACTTCACTAGTGTCAGTCTTTGTGATCACAGCTGCCCTAAGCAGCATGACAAGCCTCTCACTGTAATTGTTGTGTTTTGTATATTGGAATTTTTGAGACTGGATCTCACTGTGTCGTCTAGGCTAACCTTGAACTCACAATCTTCCTGCTTCAGTATCCTAAGTGTTAAGATTACAAGTATGTGCTGCCCCAGCTGGCTTCATTCTGGCTTTGGTGTGCATTATCCTGATGACTGATGATGGCTGATCTATGACAGGTGCTGAGGGATAAGTTGTACATCATGCTGGAGAAATGTCAGGTCCTTTGCTCATTTTTATAATTGCTTTTAGTGCTGAGCTGTAAGTGTCCTTTGTGTACTCAGGGTTCACGGTATGCTCACCCCTTTTGTGGGCTGTCCTGATTCTCTCAATAATGTCCAAGGAAACACAGAAGTTATTAATTTTGGTGAAGTCTAATTTATCTGGTCATGCATTGGTACCATACAGAAGAAGCTGTTGCCTAACTGGTTGTTGTCACTGGCTTGCTTTTGTTCTTTTCTTTTTAAATTTTCTTTTTTTAACTTTTTTTTGGCAGAACCGGGGATTGAACTCAGGTCCTTATGTTTGCCAGGCAAGCACTTATTCCACTGAGCCATCTCCCTGGCATCTGTTCTTTTCTGAGTGGAAGAACATTCTTCTCTGATTTCAGTCTCTATGAACTTCCTGAGACTTGTTTCATGGCCTAGCAGTGTATTGCAGGGAGTTTCCTATGCAGATGTAAGAAGACCCCAGTGCTTCTGTGCTTGAGTCAGTGTCTGTTGATGCCTGGGCTCAAGGAGACTTTCAGTGTTATTCAAGTCTCCTAATTCCTTGCTGATATTCCGCCTAGTTCTATCCACTGTTGAGAGTGGGTGTTAGAGATAGAGGAATGGAGGTCAAGTGGACATGAGAGTTAATATGCATTGTGTTATGTACATATATCAACTCCCTGCAATGAATATAATCATTACGTGCTGCATCATACACTGACATAATTTTAAAAAAGAGAGTGCCCCCCCACTGCGCCACCAGTCTCCAGTCTCCCATCCTCCATCACATGCTGCCTGCTGTGACTAGCTTTATTCCTAGCCTGGCCCAGTCTCATGTGTCCCAGAGAACCAGAGAGAGAAACACAGAGGAGACCCTAAAGTCAGCCCAGGGGAGACGGGTTTGTACGGTTCTGCATCATGGGGCGCAGAAAATGGCAGTGGGTTGGCAAGACAGAACGTACAGCACTCCACAGGCCCCAGAGAAGATTCAGGTATCCCCAGTCCCAACTCAAGCCTACAGTGTTCCGAATGAACAGGGCAGTGATTGACTGAGGGGGTCCACATTCCGTGTTTTGAGAGGCTCCCACTGGCCCCATGACATATTATGCCACCACGCACGCACACTGCCAGGTGATCCCTGCTCCCTGGGAGGCTGGGACAGGGAGATGGCAAGTTCCACCCCAGCCCATGCAGGTGACTGACTTAGCAAGGCCTCCACCCTGTCTCAAAATAACATTCATGGGAATATTGATATTTATTATGTAAGTGATCAAAAATTTAACAGAAAAAAAAAAGTTGGGTTTATCAAAAAAGAGAGAACGGGCTATTGAAGTCTTGGCAATTAGTGTGGAATTCTCTATTTCTTCTTTTAGTTCTGTCACATTTTGCTTCATGAGCTGGGTATAGTGGCCCTTGCCTATAATCCTGTTATCCCAGCACTTGGGAGGCTAAGGCAGGAGGATCTGCAAGTTTGAGCCCAGCCTGGGCTATAAAATGAGCTTAAGGCCAGCCTAAACTTCTAGCCAGACCCTGTCTCAAAAAGATGAATAATAGTAATAGTTTCATGTATTTTGGGCTTCATATATGATTAAACAAATGAAAAGTTTATCATTATTACCCATTTATAATAAAATCTCCTTTCTCATCTCATATCTATTAAGATGGCTACTACTAATAAAGAAAATAAGAGTTAGGATTTGGAGAATAGAGAACTATTGTGTGGGGGCCTGGCCCTAGCTCAGTTCTTTTAAATGGCTGCTTCCCCGAAGGTGTCAGGCTCAGGTGGCTGTGGTTTGATCCCCACAACTCAAGCCAGCCAAACCTGCCCTGAAGGCATTCGGAACAAAAAAAAAAAGGGTGGGGGATGGGGAGATGGCTCAGTGGAATAAGCACTTCCCTGGCAACCTCGAGGGCCTGAGTTCAATCCCCAGTTCAAAAAAAAAAAAAAAAGAACTATTGTGTACCTTTGGTGGGAGTGCAAAATGATGTGATCATTACGGAAAACATTGAGGTCCCTCAGAAAATTAAAAATAAGCTACCATTTGATCCAGAAATCCCACGTCTGGGAACATAGCAGGAAGAACTAAAAACAGGATCTTGAAGCAGCAGCTTTGTCACAGTAGCCAAAAGATGAAAGAAACCTAAACATCAATTGATAGCTGATTAGATAAACAAAATGTAGTGCATACACATAATGGAATACTATTCAGCTTTTAAAAGGAAACCTTGGGCTGGAGAGATGGCTCAGTGGAATAAGCGCTTCCCTGGCAAGCACAAGAGCCTGAGATCAATCCTCAGTTTCGCAAAAAATAAATAAATGAATAAATAAAGTAATAATAATTAAATAAATAAAAGGAAATCTTGTTACAAAGTAAAGAACAGATGCAATGTAAAGATGTAATAAGCCGGACAAAGAGACTGGATAGTTCCACTTGCATGGTATAACTAAAATAGATAAATCCACAGAATAGAGTGAAATGGTAGTTACTGGGGCCTGGGGATAAGCAGGAAAGGGAG